GTAATCAGCTGCATGATGTCAGGGAAGAGACCTCAGTCATCAAGATTAGACCAAATATGTTTGTGTTGAAGCCCGAGTATGGCATCTGGGCATCTCAGCCTTAACCCCCAACCCTCAGCCTCTACAGTGGCATTTTACTTAGATTGAAATCGGCCTCCCAGAGCTCACTGCCTTAAGATTTGCCATCACTTTGATCTCAGAGATTCTTGTGCAAAGAGGCCTAAATTTATCCTTAGAGAACCATGCCCATCCTCTCCCAATTGAAAACAAAATTCAAATCAAAGGTTTGTGTTGCCTTTTGAAATGATGTATGTATTGCTGTCTCAGCAATCCAAGTGCAAAGATGTCCTCATTGTTCGGTTTTCTCCCAAATGTCCTCGTTATTGGAAGCCACGCTCTTCCTATGAGCCTCATTTTCTGTTTGAAATGGCCACTTCTCTGAATTCAGCTCTGGCTTGACTCAGAAAGCGTGCCAGTGGAAGACAAAAAGTCAGTTATTTCAAGGTCTTGAAATTAACACGGAAAACAACATGGGTCCTCGGGATGCCTGCAGGAGCTGATGCGGGCGGGACGGGTGGGACGGAGGGTGGGAGATGGAGAGGCGCCACTCCCACGGGTCCCGGGAGGGCCCACACCGCACTGCCTTCTGGTCCTCCAGCTCCTCGCTGCTGGGTTCGCTGCAGACGCAGCCACAGCTGCGGAGGAACAGGCAGGCTGTGGGACAGGCATGAACAAATGGCACACAGGGCTGTCCTTTCTAAGCACTAAAAGAGTGTACTACATGTGGGCTATTTTCTCTGAAAATGTATTTATTAAAACACGTTGGGAATCCACAGGTCCCATTTAGGGGAAGGTGATTTCAAACATATTTTTAAACAGTTTCATTCTGAAACAGCGGTTTGCACTACCCATGAACCCTCACAGGAGGCCAGTGCTGGGCCCAGCCTACAGGTCTATCGCAATCGTTGTATGATCGTGTTGAGCAAGGCACCCAACCCTCCTAGCCAGGTTCCTTGTAATGGGGGAGTGGGGTAGATGAAGCTGAGCCTCCTCCTGTTCTAGCATCGCACAGTCTGATCAGTGCCACTGGCCCAGGTGGCTGGTCTGTATGGAGACCTGCTTACGTGCACAATACACACCAGATCTCGAAGGCTTCATACACATGATAATGAAAATGATTTCACTAATGCTTTTTACTTTGATTACATGTTGAAATGACACTATTTTGGGGTATATTGGGTAAAATAAAATATAAAAATTTTACTTTTTGAAATGTAGCTACTAGAATTTTTTAATTACTCATGTGCCTCACACTATATTTCTGTTGGACAGGGCTGTTTTATTATTTATTTACTTATCTATCTTAAGAACTATTTTAATATATATACTTCTGGGTTCCCATTTCCTTTGTGTGTCCTTCAAATTCCTGAAAACTTAAAGTAGTCTTGTTTGGGGGGAAAAAATGTTACAGCATTTTCTAGTCAAAATCTTTTTCATTTTATTTTTTTGGTTAATCCTTACCCAAGGATAATTTTTCCCCCATTCATTTTTAGACAAAGTGAAAGGGAGGTGGAGAGACACATCGATTATTTGCTTCCTGCATGCATCCCTCATGCCCTTGACCAGAATTGAACCCGAGACCCTTCAGTCCCAGGGCCCAGGCCAACACTCTATCCACTGATCCAAACCAGCCAAGGCCAAAGGTTTTTGTTTTGTTTTGTTTTGTTTTTACAAAAAGGTGAAGATTTCATCTCAAGTTGGCTAAGAGTTTACTAAGAGAGTGTGAGGGGAAGAAACACCAATGTTTCTTAAACTAGGATTTCATTTCCTGCTACTTCAAACGAAGCTACATTATCTATCTTCAGGCAATTCAGTCTTGAGAATAGCAGAGCATGTTCAGATGCCAGGAAAAAGGATAGTTCCAAAAGTGATGACCAGCCACCCCCATCCCCACGCACATGTATGCAACATCGATTCTCCATGTGAGTGCCACCTTATTTGGAAAGCACCTAAATGCTCAACCCATGAGTTCCGAAACCACATAATTAATAACCACTTCCTGAAGTGCAAGAGTCGCTGTGTCAAATAAAGAACAGTGGACAGAGATAAGGCATCAACTGTGCCTCGGGGACTGATGACCTGGTAGGAAGAGCAGCAGCAGGAAGACTCAGCAGCACACAGGAGCAGAGGGGGGGAGGGGAGCTTGTCTGGGGACGTTGAGAATACATGTGTTTGCATGAACCAGCAGGGCCTTGAGTGTTGAGAAGGAGACTTAGGACCTGCTATGAGAAGCCGTGGTCTGAATGACCTGCCGGAAGCCATGTTTAAAGGGAAATCACTCCTTTCTTCTCTGCCATGCGATATGTGTGCCCTCCAACCGGAGGGCCTGATTGGAATCCAGTGCCACCTCACATTCTTCCCTTATTCCCTCAGGGGTGCATATTTTTGCTTCCTCAAGGTGCAGGGGGTGACCAGCAGACCCTGAGCGGGGGATGAACAGATTTTGTGCACTGGGCCTTTAGTGTCGCATATAATGCAGAATTGGAACTTGGCTACTATTTCCACTGTTATTTTCATTTTTGTTATAACAGAGAGAAAAGCTCAAGTGATAGGGTCTAAGAGAAGTCCATTTTCTTCCAGTGACTCGAATGGGCTAAGACTAATCTTTCACCCTGTGCAACCTAAATTGCAGGGACATTGTGCTAAATTATCTACCTTAGTAAAATGGCTCTTGCAAAACTACACCATAGAGTAACCATGCTACTTCTTCCACTTTTGTAGGGAGACTGGAGACTGTTAAATGTAATTTCCAGTTCTTAGCCTCAGCACTAATTCTATGCCATTCATTACTCTTAATAAAGAATATCTTGCCAGAACCAGTTTTGTTCAGTGGATAGAGCGTCGGTCTGTGGACTGAGGGGTCCCAGGTTCGATTCTGGTCAAGGGCATGTACATTGGCTGCGGGCACATCCCCAGTAGGGAGTGTGCAGGAGGCAGCTGGTCGATGTTTTTCTCTCATCGACATTTCTAGCTCTCTATCCCTCTCCCTTCCTCTCTGTGGAAAATCAATAAAATATATATTAAAAAAAAAAAAAATATTTTGCCTGACCAGGTTGGCTCAGTGGTTGAACATCGACCTATGAACCAGGAGGTCATGGTTTGATTCCCAGTCAGGGCACGTGCCCAGGTTGCAGGCTCGATCCCCAGTGTGAGACGTGCAGGAGGAGGCTGATCAATGGTTCTCTCTCATCATTGATATCGATATTTCTATCTCTCTCTCTTCCTCTTCCTTCCTCTTTGAAATCAATAAAAATGTATTTTAAAATTTTTTTTAAAAAAGAAAGAATATTTTTATTTTTCACATTAAATAACCCTTACCAATTCTGATCTTCCTCTGTAGAGAGCAAATACCCACCCCAACATCTCTGGCCCCCCAGAATCACTATGCTATAAATTAGAGAGCAGTCTCATTCTTAAGAATTCTTGGCAGGTTAAAAATCAAAGTTTGGAGAGCAGGGGCTCCAGTAGAAGGGGCTCCCATGGCAGAGATGAGGCAAAACAACAAAAACATTTCTTTATTTTTAGCTTCTAAGACTTTATTTAGGCTGTTCTAGTCCACAGTGAACATTATTCTTACACATAGAATGACACCTATGTAAGTATTCTGATAATAAGTTAGCTATTTACCTAACAGAGTGTAAATTATTTAATTAATTAATTAGTGGTCTGAACCACCATGCATAAAGTACATGAACATGACCCTCTCCTCTTATTCTCCAGGCATACTGTGTTGAATGAAGAGAGCTTGGGTTCTAAAATAAGGCTGATCTGCTCTATTTTATTTTAACTTTCTACTTTGAAGTAACTGTAGATTCACTTTAAGTTGTAAGAAATAATATAGAAATTCCTTATTATTTACTTATTATATACTCTTTACCCACTTTCCTCAATGATAACCTCTTGCATAACTGGTTCACTATCACCAGGCAATTTGACATTAATGCAATTCTAGGGCCTTATTCAAATATTGCCAGTTTTACATGCACTGGTTTGTTTGTGTTCTTAGTTAGTTCTGTGTAATTTTATCATGTGTGTGACCTGCTTTTGAATCCCAGCTCTTCTGAGTACCAGTTGTGTGATCCTGAGCGAGGTCCTTAACTGCAACATGGGAATAATAATGTCTGCCTCCTGTAGGCGGGGCAAGGATTAGGGAAGGGCATATTTGTCCACTGGAATCTCAGACGCTAGTTTCCTTCCTGACTATCCCTAGTTCTCTCAGTAGCAAGGGGGCTTCCTCCAGTTTCTTGTTGGAACAACCAGACTTGTGGGTTAGTAAATCAGCAGCTCCTTCTTCAAGGGCAACACTTTTAACCTTGCAGCTCAAAGAGAGAGCCTTGGGTATTGCCCCAGCCCACAGGGGCCGGATATCCATCTAGGCTGAACTCGGGATTTGTTTGCATCCAGATCAGACGTGTAGGGATGGGGGAGCCTTGGGGAAGCCAGTCTAGACCTGGTAGGAGAGAGGTACTCGCTGCAAAGGGTGCCCTTCCCCTCCTGGACCTTTCCTCCAAGAACGGCCCAAGGGCGCTCCCGGGCTGACAAATTCGGGGCCGCCCGGGGGCAAGAGGCGCCTAAATCCTCGCCCACAAGTACCACCGGCTGGAGGCGAGCCCTTCCTCTCCACACCCACAAGTGGCCGCGGGTGTCGGGGCGCAGCGGAGTGTGTGAGGGCGCGCTGCAAGGCCCAGGAGGCGAGCGGGCAGGGGTGGGACGGTGGACGCGCCAGTCGCTGTCCCGCGGCGACCTCGGGGCTCAGGTCTCCTCCATCCGCACCTCCCGGGCCCTGGCCACTCCAAGTTCAAATCTCGAAGCGCCCGCCCCCGCCCCGCCCCCCAGCGTCACGCGGCAGCCGAGACGGGACCGGGCTCCTCCGGGCTTCCTCGACACGAGCAGTTGGGACCCCGGGGGACAGTCCGGGTCTAGGCGGGGGAGACAGACCCCGCGGGCGCTAGACGCTCTCCCCTCCGCTGTCCCGGCAGCGCGGGTCCAGGAGGAGGAGGCGCCGCGCCCGGCCGGCCCCGCCCCGGGCCCTCCTCCCGCGCTCGCCCGGCCCTTCCCACCAGCGCCCAGAGCTCCGTGGCCGCGGCCGAGTGGGAGCCGAACGCGCTGGGCGCGGCCGTCCCGCTGCCGCTGCCGCTGCCGGCGCGTGAGAGCCCGGACGCCCCGCGGCCATGGTCCCCGCGGCGGCCCCCGGCGCCTGAGCCCCCGCACGCGGTGAGCGAGAAGCCGGCTTCCGGAGCCCCCGCCTGCGGCCTGGGGGCGCCCGGAGGCCTCGCGCTGCCCCGCGCCGTCGGGGGGCCCTGCGCGCCCCGGGCGCACCGGGCACCGGGCCAGCCTGGAGCTCCCCCTCCGGGGCCCGGGGCCGGGGCGCGAGCGGTCCCTGCGGGCCCGGCGCTGGGAGCAGCTTTGAGGAAGCGAGTGGCCTGGAGGCCAGTCCCGCCCGGACGCTACCGGGGGCCCGGCGGGGAGGGGGCGGCCTCGGGGGCGGGAGGAGGGGCCGGTGGTGGCGGCGGGGGCGGCCGGGGCGGGCCGGGGGCGGGGACGGCGGGCGCCGCGGCCCCCGGAGCCGCACTTCGGGAAAGCTGGCTCCTTACATATGGAAATGACGGTCGCGCGGGTCGCCGGGCGCGTCCTTTTGAAGGACGCCAGTCCCGAACCTCCGCGAAGTCTTGCCCCGCTCCGTGCGCCCTAACAAAGCGCCCGCTTGGCTCCGCAGGGCACCGGAGGCGGCGGCCGGCTGTGCGGGCGCGACGGAGAGGCCGACAGGAGGTAGGCGCGGGCGCCGCGGGCGGGGGGCGGGCGGTCTGGCCGTACCGTGGGGTGTCTGAGGTTTCTTGGAGGCGGCGATGGGCGGCCGGGTGGTGGACGCATCTCCATCGCAGGCTGCCAGGGACCCGGCCTCCGCGCCCCGCCCGGCGGCGCAGCGGGTCTGGGCGCCTCGCCGCCTCCGCCGCGATGCCCCATCCCATCCCGCGGCCGCCCGCTGAAAGCGGCCACTATGTGCTGGTCCAGGAGCGGACCTGAGTCCCAGAGAGAGCAGAAAGGGTGGTTTGTTCTGTGGCCGTGTGCCACCCAGGCAGCCTTGTGGTGGAGCAACTGAAGAGAGAGCCCTGTCTGGAGAGACCCGAGGTGTTAGCCTGGGCTGTCTGTCGTCTTGAGTATCGGAGAGCTATTGTAGCTACTCTTAAAGTGTGATTTTTTCCCCCCCAGGGGTGTGGGATCGATACATAGAGAAAGACTTTCCCAGGGCAATTACTATTAAGAAAGGGAAAAGAACAAAATGATACTCTGTTGCCTGAAAGCCTTTGCTGGTCGGCACGGCAGAATCAAGTGTGGAGTTCTGCGGGAGCAGCGTCCAGGGTCCGGAGCGGGGCTTCTGCAGCCACCAAACCGGTCCCGGACAAAAGGACGAAGCTGGTGGGAACAGTGGCCTGCAGAGAACTCTCTCTGTGAAGTTGAAAGCGATAGAGATAGGGAGAGGCGATTTCCTAGCTCCAACCCTGCAAGTTAAATGGGGGCTGGGGAGATGGCTCTCCCAGGTCCCCGGTGTCTAGACAACTAAGCTATAATGAGATCTTCTGCTGTCTTGACTTCCCGGGAACAGATCCCCTCCTGGTGATGAGGAATTCCTGAGATGGGCTTGCCACACAACTTAACTCCTGAATTTGTGAAATGAGATCAGATGGCAGGGTTGTCTTTTGAGAGTGAGGTGGTAGCTGTTTAGGCTAAGCTCCTGAGACCCTCGACAATCAAAATAAATGTATACGTTTACTTCTTTCCTGTGGCTCAACACTCTGCAAGGAGGAAGCATTTTGTTTGTGGTTTGTTTTTCATTGTCAGCTTAATTTTATCTTGATCTTCCCCAGTGGCCAGCACATTGGTGGCTGACCTAGAATGGCTGGCAGATCTTGTTTGGAGTCGGAGGGGGCTGTGAGCATTCCCAGACTGCGTGTAAAAGTAGCCTTACAGGCGGACCGCAAACCCAGTTTCTTATGGTCTCCTCAGCTGTTGTCAATGTCCTTAGGGAGATCAAGGGGACTGCTGCGGAGTCTCTTGGCAGATTTGTTTACTTTCACCTATTCTCTGGTGAGAGCTTAGAGGAAAGCATTCTGAGCCGGGCATAGATAAAGGGAAGGACTTATGGATGTTCCAGATGGGCCAAACATGGGGCTAAGGCAGGACAAGGCTTTACAGGGGACAACGTGAAGGAAGCCATCACAGGCCAAGTCTCTGCATTAAAATGTCACGGATCAGTCATTTCAATAGGCACTTACTCAGAATGGCATGGATGTCTTTTCCACCAACCCCTCTCCTCCCTTTTAAGTATGTGATGATCCTTAATACCAAAAGATATCAACTGACTCAGAGGAGGAGAACGGGGCTCCAATGAATCCTGAACAGCCAATCTTAATAGGTAACGTTCTCATCATATGTTAAGTGTTGTTCAAATAAATGGTTTTAAATGTCACTGCAAATGGCTTTCTAAACTAACATTTCAGCCATCTTGATGCTTCCACTTTATGCTGATAATGAAAATACATTTTTATCAGGCTAACCTTGATAAAGGGCTGGCAAGTTGAACCAGAGCATGTTTGAGGCATTCAAACAGCCTAACGTCTTTTGAGGGGGGTTATTTTTGTAGAGGCTGATTCATTTGTAGGCCAGCAGATTGTGTGGTTTGAATTCTGGCTATTGAACGTACATTTGTTAAGCAGGGGCTTGTGAAGAGACATACTGAAGCTTGCAAAAAAAAAAGATATTTTATCCTAATTACAAATAAAATAGAATTTTAAAAAGATGATGGGTATATGCAAGTGAGCAACTTTGAAATTAGGAGGATGTGTCTGTATTGCAACTTAGAGCAGCAATTAGCCATTTATTACAGCTTTTGGATGGGAAAATTACCAAGTATTCCTGTCCTAATGCTCACTTAAAAAAAAAAAGTTGAGAAAACCTACTGTTTATAGATGTAAAAAGTGAAGCTCTTCACATTGACCCCAACACACTGTTCTCAGGCCTGCAGGCACTTTACATTAATGTGAGTTAATACGGCTCAGAAGTGAAAGCTGTTACCAGCAGTCCCTTTTAAGAAAGGGACACACAGGCCCCAGTTTTTGGCTTCTGTAGTTTTACTTGGTACGTGATTACAGGTTATTGACCCCACAGTGTGGGAGGCTCATGATTGTATCCCTCCAGCTGTCCCGAGGTAACAACTTAATTGGGTACTCACCTTGCTATTAGAATTAACAAAAGCTTGGCTGTGCTACATCATTCAGGATAGTAAAATACAAAGTTTGTGTTTTAGATTAAATACTGGTAGGATACCCTTAGCGAAATTAAATTTTATAGTGTGGTTAGCAACGGTGGTTATTTTTTCTAATTTAAAGTGGCTTTTCCCCCCCCCTCTCTGGGTGGTGGCATTTAAGCGTTTGTGTTATGGTTTTATACCATGATTTTATTCTTGGTGATACTCTTTGTGCTTTTGGTACCCAGCCAGAAATGAGGTGCTGTCTGAGCAGAGAGGAAGCTATCTCACAGTAATTAGTGTGGGCAGCAGTTTGGGGCAGAAATATCCCATATAACCACGTGAATGGGGACAATTGCTTTTTCTATTAGGCTTCTGCTAAACTTAAATTTAGTCTTGTCCCTATTTCATTTTACACTGAAATTAGTCCAAACGAGGAATGCTGGAAGTCTTTGCAGCAAATCGAAGTGCAGAAAAGAGAGAAGAAAAAGGAAACATTTTAATTTGATCATTGGCATTATGAGGCTCTGATTTGCCAAATGGTGAAAGCTTGTTTATCGTTTTAGTTATAAAGTAACTACATTATCACTTGATGGTCACTGTCTGGTCTGTGGGCCCCCAACAGCTATGTCTGATCACAGACCCAGAAGCATCCATTGTAACACCCAGCGAACGTGGCTGAGCCAATGGGGGACGGGCAGACATTCCTCGTAGCTGTTCAGCTGCTGGACCATCTGGAGGGGAAATAAAAGGCCTGGGCTAGGGGCTCTGGCATTGTGCTCGTTTATTACTGGGCCTCCCCTGCCAGGCTTTGTCCCCCTTTCACTCCCTGTGGCCCAGAGCAGACGTCCCCTTTGGCCCGGTTGCCATTCTTACAAGCTCCTTTCTATGTCTTGGCTGCTGGAAAGTTCATAAGTTCACGCATCCACTTCATGCTGGTCTTATGATGGGGACTTCATCGCTCTGGCTGCTCCCGCACCTATGTCTCTTTCGGCCCCCGTTGGCACTGTGACTTCAGCAGCCAGGGTTGCCTAGCGGAGCACAATAACACAGCTCTGCCATGGACCTCCCTGTCAGGGTCTGCGCATTCTGGCAGCCTTGTTTTGAGTTATCTGGAAGAGAAGCGCTCCGAATAGTTCTCATGATGGGTGGTAAATGTTTTGATGAATGGCTCGGTGCATCTGCCTCTTATTTAACCATCCCCCCAGCTAGAACTTCAAAATATTGCCCGCGCTGCCCTTTTATTCCAGAAGAGTGGTCAAGGCTTCTGACAGTTCAGTCGGGAAGGCAGATGGTTGCAGGGAGGCCCAGGTCAGTGGCAGGCTTTATGAACCTGGAGTTGTTCTTTGCCACTTGAAAAAAAGATTCATGACTCCAAACCCCACTCTCTCATCTCTGAGTAAGATTCCCATCGCTGGCGGATGTCCGTTAGGCTGTGACTCTGGGAAGCAGGGAGTTGCACAGATCAGACCTATTTCAGTGTTTGGGGGAATTCATTAACAGCTCTCAGTGCCTAGGCTTTGCCCATTATGGAAGAGATGGGATTCTTCATGATCATTTTTACAAACAAGTGTCTGTCTTCCTTGCGCTAAATCCCAAAGCTGCTTGAGTAAGAAGAGATTGCTTTTCCTGTGTATCCCTAAGGCCTGGAGGCTATAAATATTCAATAAATGGCTCATGGGTGGGAGAGAGGAAGGACCCACCATTCCCCATTCTGGCCTGGAGGAGTCTGCGGCCATGGTTTCCAGTACGGGGTACAGTTCAGCTGGTTGACACATAAAGGCGGAGAGAAGTGATTTGCTGATGATAATGTCATTGCAGGGGGCCCATTCATGAGTTATGGTGTGCAGGATTGAGAGGCAGTAGAATTTGGAGTCAGACCAGGGTTCTACACCCATGTTCGTATTGAATTCTTGGACAAGTTCTGTACCTTTGCCAGCCCCCACTTTCTGCATCTTAAGTGGGAAGGTGAAAGCTATCTAAAGTGTTAGGAAGATTCAATGAGATCATATAGGTAAAGCAGTCTGCATAGGCCAGACTTACAGTAACTGCTCGGAAAAATTTTTTTTAAATTTGTTTCTGCTGAACTCCCAACTATATTTCAGCCTTATTGCTTTTGTTCCACATTAAGTTTATTTTTAAAAAATATATTTCCATTGGTTTCAGAGAGGAAGGAAGAGGGGGAGAGAGAAACATCAATGATGAGAGAGAATCATTGATCAGCTGCCTCCCGCATGCCCCCTACTGGGGATCGAGCCCGCAACCTGGTAATGTGCCCCTGAACAGAATCGAGCCCAGGACCCTTCAGTCCACAGGCCAATGCTCCATCCATTGAGCCACACCAGCTAGGGTACACATTAAGTTTATTAGTAATCTGCCATTAACGATTGAAGCAACATGAGCATTACCTGCTGCCATTATGGTTTAATAATATAGCATTTTAATATACGTCACATGTACCCTGCCCATTCTTGCTCTCTGGATTCTGGCATCCACGGCTCCTGCGCTGCCCCTGTAAAGGCAGATATGTGGCTGATGGGCCTGTGTGAGTGACCGCTCTCCAATTTAACCCCTTCTTCATAAGTCACATGTTTTCCTGGTGGTTTTCTCAGTTCCCCTCTGGTATCAGCTTTCTCTGGGACTTGCTCCTCTCAGCTGCTTATCAAATGTAACCCTCAGGACATCCTTTCCAGATGGGCATTATCCTTCCCGTTCTATAAACGAGGAGGCCATGGGAGGTATTTTAGACAGACTGCCCCCCAAAGCCAATTTCCATAACAAGCAAACGCAGCTCAAGGGTAAGAGTCCATGGGCTCATTTACTCACTCCTTGAACCAAACTTCAGGTGGGCGACTTCATAGGATGCAGTTTGGCAGTGGGTGCTGGCTTTCCACTTCCGTTGGCTATGTCTGGGACTGAAAATGCCTTTGAGAAAGGGATGGGCTGAGGTGGGGGACAGAGGCGTAGAGGTGTGTGTATGTGGAAGAAATAGGCATTTCAAACTCTGTGTGTGCTCATTTATGTCTGCAGCTCTCACTCAGGTTCAGCTTCCACTCAAGAAATCTCCATTGCCCAGTCAGGCCATGTTTACCGGGTCCTGGTGTGAGGGTCAGTCACGCTGTCCTGTGGTGTGGGGGACACTACAAAAGAAATAGAAGTGTGGGCCTTCTCCGTAAAGACATTTCTGGCACGTGGGGAGAACGAAATTCTTGCACATGAAATTACTGAGGAACATTTGGGGAATCGTATCAACCAGTAAACACGCATTCTGTGCCAGGAGAATACTGACAACTTGTCACCATATGTAACGTCTTTTGGACGTCTCCTTACATGCGATCCTTCGATCCTTTGTTCTGCAGGGGTAGGCCTGTTTTCCCCCTTAAGTGAAAAGAATGTTCTCCTAAGCCTGGTGTCTTGGGAAGGAGAGAGATGAAATACAGAGATAAAAAAAAAAAAGAAAGAAAGAAAGAAAGAAAGAAAGAAAGAAAGAAAGAAAGAAAGAGAAAGAAAAGGAAAGAAAAGAAAAGAAAAGAAAGCTACTGTAAAATGAAAGAATTTTATCTAGCAAAAATCCAGTGATCTGCCAAAGAGCAGGGCATGATAGTCTATCACGGTGGCTCTCAACCTTTCTAATGCCTCGGATCCTTTAAAACAGTTCCTCATGTTGAGGTGACCCCCAACCATAAAATTATTTTTGTTGCTACTTCATAACTGTAATTGTGCTACTGTTAATAAATCGTAATGTAAATATCTGTGTTTTCCGATGGTCTTAGGCGACCCTGTGGGACAGGTTGAGAACGGCCTAAGACCATAGGAAAACACAGATATTTACATCATGATTCATTGACAATAGCACAATTACAGTTATGAAGTAGCAACGAAAATAATTTTGTGGTTGGCGGTCACCTCAACATGAGGAGCTGTATTAAAGGGTCGAGGCATTAGAAAGGTTGAGAACCATTGGTCAAATTCAAAAGCCATGCATCAGCTCAGGACTCCTCAGTATATTGTGAGTTTTGTGGCCCTCTTTCATTGGTTTATGGACAAGACCCAACCATTAAAAATAGTTCTTAAAAGAGGAAGTGTTCGAATTCTTTCCCTTTGGGTTTTTTTAATATGCAAAATCAAGCAAAAGCAGAATAGTCTGGCATTTATGAAGTTGGTCAGATTACAGCCCAAGGGACAGTTAAACTCAGGAGAGAGAGTCTGAGAGCTATGGCAACCCTGAAAGCCCCAGAGCACCTTGGGGATTCTCCCCGATCTCAGCTGACAATTACCTGGCAGGCGCTAAGTGGATCTCATTAGCCAAGCCTTGCCTCTTCTGAATTCCCAACTTTTGTGGCTTTGCTTAACACCTTGGTGTTTTGTTTCTGTTGCTTTGATGTTTATATAGCACTCTCAGCTTCGTTTGAAAACACTGACATGGTGATTAGTTAACCCAACAGGCCAACCAGGAAGGGAGCCAGAACCAGCAGCACCTTAGTAATAGAGAGACTGGTAATTAGGAAAGATCTTCTCACACCAGGAGCCCGGACCAGAGGGGGGCCACTCCACCCACTGGTTCTGCTGAAGATCAGGAGGATCGGGCTCTGTTCATCCTGTCATGTGTTGTCCAGTTGTCGGTAGAAAGAAAGCCACACAGCCTAGAGCATCATTGACTTGTACGAAAGGCTTTCTTATTTTCAATTCTGGCCATGTTCAACACCTCAGCTCACTCACTTCCCATGTTGTCGTGATCTGCTCCCTGGAACATCACCTCTAAGTCAGAGTTTTCTGATCCACATCTTGTTTTACTTTTGTAAAAAAGTGCTGCTTTTCAAAGTAGGATGGTGTTTACAGGAGCTGGGGAGGGGAAGGGAGAGTTGCTGTCCTGTGGGTATAGAGCGTGTCACATAAGATGAAGAAGATCTAGGATCTGCTGTACAACAACGTGCATGATGTAGTGAACAATACCACTGCACACTTAAAATTTTAGAAGGCTGGGCTTCATGGTATGTGGCTTATCACAATACAAATTCTATTGCAAGATAAAGAAAAACCTTTTTTTAAAGGTGCTGCTTTTTACAGTCCAGGGCTGGTTCAGAGAGCCTTGTTTCAGAGAGCTGAGGTCATCGTCTCAAGGGTCTATGTCGTGTGTGGCTTCCATTGCATCATGGGGAAGGCACCTCCAGATGTGCAGGTGCCAGACTCTGATGGGAAGGCCCGACACATAATCCATGAACTATTGTGCAAGCAAAAAAACAGATATCACTCTTCAGGTATGATGGGCCTAGTATTTTATGAGGTATAATTTTAGTAAAACTGAATGTGAGAGTTATAGATGACTCCGTGTTGTTACTGATCCCATGGAAAGTGGGAAAGCGGAAGGTCTGGGGTTTGCGTGGGTCAGAGAGATGCAGTGGGGGGCGATGGCCTAGATGCTAGAGGCCCCCTGAGATTCCGTGAGACTCATATGATCTGTGGCTCCTTCGAACCTCACCGTCTGAAAGCTTGGAGTATTGTTTTCTCCTCTCTCTAGGCAACTAATCATTACCTAAGCCTCCCTGGGACTAACGCCAGCTTCAGGGAATACTCTTCCTGTCACACCTCATGCGATTGCACCAATGGTTAATTGAGTTGCTTTTTTGAGGAACTCTTGGAAAAGGCATTGGTCCCATGTAAACAGGGAGGTGGTTTGTATCAGACGTGCTCACCCAGTGCTTTCTGCTGCAGCCATTTGGTCTGATTGCAACGGGGGCCTCCAGGCTGCAGGAAGAGAAACTAAACAGCAGCTCATCCCACCAGCAGACTGCAACACCTGGACAGGTCGGCTAGAGCGTGCGGACTTGCATGGAAGCTCTGGCCCTGTGGTCTGTTGGCACCGGCAGTTACTGTATTTGAAAGGACTGGGTGTCAGAAGTGGCCTTTCCCTGTCTGTACGTCCTGGGCCAGATGAGCTGATAGAGAATCGCTCTTTGTGTTGAGTTTGAGAGACTGGCTGCCCGCCTGTGGGGGCGCCCTTCTGCCTACAAGACTCCCTCATTCTGGTAAAGCTAGCCTGAGGTGGCCGGACCTCGCGGGTGTGCCTGTGGGAGTGCCTGGGCCTGGTCAGGGCTGGGTCCCGGAGAGACCCATGCTCTCGCTGGTGGGTGTGAGTATTCTCTCTCCTGCTGGCTCTCACCAAGGTCCCGTTCGGCCTGCACGAGGGGACCAGGGCGTGCAGAGGACAGGGATAGTGGTGCCGAGGGTGGCAGTGGCGGGATTCCAGGGGCTGCCACCACCTGACCTTGTCTCTGTCCCATACAGGTGAGCCCTGTGGGCGATGGGATGGATGAGGTGGAGCAGGACCAGCATGAGGCCCGACTCAAGGAGCTGTTTGACAGTTTTGACACGACGGGCACTGGGTCCCTGGGACAGGAGGAACTCACCGACCTTTGCCACATGCTGAGCTTGGAGGAGGTGGCCCCAGTGCTGCAAGAGACGCTGCTTCAGGACAACCTCTTGGGCAGGGTAAGGCCCGGGGAAGAGCCCCGGGTGGAAGTGGGTGCGGTTTCTGGTGGGGCGCTGGGGGTGGGGCAGACCACACCGATCGCTACTTGTTTCTGACATCCCGGCTGTGTGCGCCCTCAGCTCTGAACCTGAGACACAGGCCAAGGGTCATGGGTGTGAGGTACCGTGCCGTTTGCTCCGGAGATGAGCGCTTGCTGTGATTTGCACCCTGGAAAGGTGTGCCCGGAGCATCTTAGATAAAGAGAGAGAAAGAGGTAACAAGAGGATGTTTTCTAACCCTTTTCTTGTTACTCGTGGGTCGTTGTGTGGACTCCACTTTCACCACTGAGCCAGCAGGGAGGTGCCAGATTCCCAGGGCAGAGACTGGGAGAGCAGTGAGGAGGCTCCATTCACAGGAAAGCAGATTGCCGTTACGAATTTTACTCCCGACAAAGCCCTTTGTTCTGTGGATTGTTTCTGGGGTGAAGTATTAATTAAACTCTTCACCCAGGACATAAGACAGGAGGATAAGTAAATACAGTGCAGGCTCATTTAAAACCCAGCATGACCCGCTTCCAGCAGCGCCGTGTGTGCTGATGTTAACGTCTGCGTTTGACGACAAATAGTCATGTTCTCCCTGTAGATCAAGTCACGGAGATCTTTTTTTCCTCCTCTTGCTGTTCGGGGGGAGGATGTTTGATCCGTCACGACCTGCTATTGCCTTCCATTCTCATAAATATGATTAAGAGCATCATGTGTATGGCTTTGGGCTGAACCTGGCTGTTAATTTTTTTTTTTTTTTTTAATGAATGAGAGGAGAAAATGGGCAGTACTTCTGAGCCCTGCTGCAGTTATTGCTGTCACTTTGCAGACAGGTGTTTCTAGCATGTGGTATAAATTGAGGAAGCAGTTGGGGATCTCTACTTTATTCCAGTGACTGAACTTCCTTTTCTTCGCTTCATTTTCATAGTCTCTTAACTGACACGTTGGGTAAGTGACTGCAGACACTGTAGGATGCACTGGCTCTCTGTCACGTGAGACAGGCAGGAGGAGCAACCACCCTGAAATCAATGCCAAAGGGTGATATTCTCAGGGGCTGGCACCATGAATGTGGTGTTTCACAGGGCTCAGACTTAAAGGGGGGAAAAAACAAAACACGAAGTTTTTGCAAAACTGGGAATCATTCTTGGTCACTTTGGAGGCGTTAGCTACGTGTGGGTACATGTGGTCTCCCCCCAAAATGCTAAAATTTTTGCTTTGAAAACCGTAGAAACGTGGGATTTGAGGGTTAAACCATAGGCTCCTCATCATGTAATGTACATAGGAGCTTTTTAGCTCTGCCTCACTCCCAGGCACTTTGGGGAAACAAAAAAAATAAAAAAATAAAAAATAAAAAATAGTGTTTTCACTGTGGGCCATGGAGATCTCAGGCATGGTGGGGTCTAAGAAATAGTATGCAAGAGGGGACTCTCATTTAAGGCTTAGTAAAGCCCAAGAAGACAGGATAGAACTTGAGGTTTCCTTGAGAGGTGTGTTGGAGGCAGTGGCGCTGTGGAAGCCCCTGCTGTAAACAGATCTCACCTCGGCAGCAGGTCCGCAGTGTGCTGTCCAGATGTGGCGCATCTTCGCCCTCATCTGGCCAGCTGGAGCCGGGAGCCGTTATCGATTGACTTGTTAACGACCTGACACTGCCAGCCTGCTCTTCAGGCTGTGTGCCTGGGAATAAGGAACACCTAAGTGTCCATAGCGTGATATTTACTTAGTGGGCCTGTGATAAGAGTTAAATAGATGTCTGCATATTGATTTCAGGTGGGAGTTCCTGGTGATGGCCTTGAGAGCAGGGCTGCCATGAATTAATGCACTATATTCAATGTGCATTTTTTTATGAAATTGAATTATTCTCCTCAGCTGATCACATAAACGTGGCCATATGCTGTTAAGACACTCTATGGTCTGTAATTTTAAAATGTGGGGGTAAAATTCCTTAGAATTCACAGAAGCCATCCATGTGCTAGCACCTTCTTGGGAATATTGGGTAGAGCCAGAAGTTGTAAGATTCTAAGTTTTTAATGTCAGCCATATGTTTTCTCTTTAGATATTATTTATAGAAAACTTATAAGGGTTAGGAGTTTGGTTTAATAAAACAGGAGAAGGGAATAGAAGCATGACAAATCTAAATATAGTCATCCGTTCGTTAATTCAACAGATATGTATTCTGCTGTATGTGTCCTGCATGTCCAGGCATTCTACTAGTCTGATGGGTGCAACTTATGTTTATTGTAAACTACGGTTTTCCATTAAATTGGCTTTTGGGTGCGTCAGTATTGATCAGTTTCCTGGTTTAAATTTTATCTTTTAAATCTTAAAATGTATAATTTTAAAATAAAATAAAACTTTTAAAGTTTACCTTTATTGAATTTAGGCTCAGTTAGTCATTTTTCCTTGAAAATAAATAAGATAAAAAGCACTGAACTAAGAACATTAATATCATCTGTTATTTTATTTTAAAATCCATCTTAAATAATTCCTTGTGTTTTTTTTTGTTTTTTTATCTTAAAGTCCAATGTTTCTTTTGACAGTTTTTTAAGGAAAGTAATTTAAATTGATTTGCCATTTTCATGAATTTTTCTAATAGGCCATTTACCCCCAAATTATGTGTCCATTCATCTGTCTGATCTTGCTTTATAACTTGAAGCCATATTCCCCCTGCACAGTGGTTATACAGGGTGGGGCAAAAATAGGTTTACAGTTGTGAGTACAGGAAGCAGTTTGTTCCTGTATTATTACTCAGTAGTTATTGTATTATTTTCCCTATGAACAACTGTAAGTCTACTTTTGCCTCACCATGTGTGTGTTTGAAAAGCCGAAAGATTGGGAATCACCAATTTGAAGGAAAGAGGACATTGCTGATAGATATTTCCTACTTTTATCAGATGAGCTCCATTCATATCTTTGTCCCAGTTAAGCAGTTGTCAGGTGGGTGAGACCCCCAAGACAAGGGACTCCTCAAGACACTGAAGAATTTGTAGTCGGGTCACATAATGTGAGTAGTACTGGGAGCAAATACTACAAACATTTTAAAAAGGGAACCACATTATATATTTTTTTTAAATCTCTATTGTTGAGGGTGTTACATATGTTCTCCTGTTACCCACCTCCACCCGGTTCCCACCCCACCCCAGGCCGTCACCACCCTATTGTCTGTGTCCATAGGCAATACCTATATGCATGTAAGATCTTTGGTTAATCTCTTCCCCTTGTCCCCCTTCTCTCTGAGATTCTTCAGTCTGTTCCATGTTTCCATGCCTCTTTCTGTTTTATTCACCAACTTGTTTTGTTCATTAGATTTCTTTTTCATTGAACTAAGTTTTCATCCAAACCTCCAATACCCATTGTAGGTGCTTCCTGGTTTGTGTTTTTTAAATGAAGTGTTTCTAAATCTCTCTCTCTCTCTCTCTCTCTCTCTCTCTCTCTCTCTCTCTCTCTCTCTCTCTCTCTCTCTCTCTCATTAGAAATCTGAACATAAATATGATCATTTATCTTGGTTTTTTGAAGCCTTTAGTTCTATCCTGTTTTAAAAATGCATTTTCCTTTCATTATTGAATATTCCAACTTGAGACAGAACAGCCCCCTGGGACTCTGGTCAGTTTCCTTGCTATACTTCTGATGTGAATTTGGACACTGAAGGGCCCCCTGCCCTTGGCACCCTCTAGATTCAGAACAAGCCGCCTGAAGCAGAACTCATCGTCGCTCCGAGAGTTCCGTGGGTATGCAGACTCTACTCCTCAAAGGCACTTTGAACATTTTAGTTTTAAAATTTGATATTTGTACAAATATAAAATTTAGCTCAGCTTTCCCACCTTTTATTTTAAAGTGCTTGGAGTTCTTTTGCAAATGTCAAAGTTAATTTCCCAAGGAGGATTGCTTTGTTGTTGTTATTTCCAGTTCATTAAAAGCTTTTAAAGATTTCTTTCTCCTATACACATTTTAACCATTTGAAAAATAAGTAAAAAATATAGAAGTATTTCCTGATTGAGAGAGAGAGAGAGAGAGGGAGGGAGGGAGGGAGGGAGGGAGGGAGGGAGGGAGAGAGAGAGAGAGAGAGAGAGAGAGAGAGAGAGAGAGAGAGAGAGAGAGAGAGAGAGATTTGTTGTTCCTCTTATTTATGTATTCATATGTATTCATTGGCTGCTTTTCTTGTATGTGCCCTGACTGGAGATTGAACCGGCAACCTTGGTGTATTGAGAAGATGCCCTAACTGACTGAGCTGCCTGGCCAGGGTCCAGAAGTACTTTCTGATAGTGATTTTTTGGATTTGTTCTCCGTGTGCAAGATTACGCTTGATCATATAGTGCCTATTTATAACCACCTTGTGTTCACGTTCCAGTTTCATGTTATTGATCTGAGGCTTTTTTGAACGCCTTGGAGGGAATAGAGGAAACATTTCTCATTGTATCTCTTAAATGTCTGAAGCTGAGCTGTATCTTATGGTTTAGCCACCAGAGAGTAACCTGAAATAGTGAAGGGTATTTTCTGATTCCTAGGTTGGTCTTGTGACTCGGTATCCCTCCATCACTCCCTTCTTTACAATAATCTCATCTGGGATTGATTTAAACTCCTAAGGGCATGTGATCCCCACTTATAGACAAGAAGACTTTCTGAGTTAGAGGCTACAAGAGTTTGTCTCCATTCTGTATTAACAGTTTCTTGTCAAATTCACTGCAGAATTAACTTTGGTTTCGCATACTGTGAACCTTGAGTCCGACAAAAGCAAGGGCATAGGGGAGAGCCGTTGGGAAGGAGGGCCTTGTGCTCTCAGCAGATGTTGAGAACAAGTACTAAATAGCATTTCTTTCCACCTGCTTTATCGCAGTAGTGATCATCTCTTTCATCAGAGAAAGTATGGCCAGGAACACTCACTAAGTCTCCTACAATATCCCATCGACACTTTTATGAGTAGCAAGCATCTTGTCTGCATGAGGGCACTTAAAGTTCTTCCGTGTCTGTCACAGGTTTTTAGA